AAAAAAAAAAAAAAAAAAAAAAAAAAAAAAAAGTGGAGTTTTATCACTCCCACCTGAGGAAAAAGGACAAAAAAAACCCCCTAACTTCTGCCTCGTTAAGATAAACAATATTAATATTTAAAAAAATCACAAAAAAATGCAAACACCTTCCTGTAGAAAAGCAGCAGAAGCCAGGAATTATTATTATAATTTTATTATTGTCATTTTGATCTGTCTTTCCCCAAATTTTTGCATATTCCAATCCTCCAAGGGCACGTTCCTGTCCTCCTTTCATGCTCTAAGWACCCCTCAGATGCAGAAAGTTCACAATTAGAGGGAAAATAAAAAAATGCCAGAGTTTTGCTTCTCAGCCCTGGAAGTGCTGCAGGAAGACCACAAAATGTGGGGTTATCTGAATTCCTCTGGAACAGCAGCTCYTTTGAAAAGATGCCGTTTTTAACGTCCCAGTTTTCTCCAAAACTTCTCGGAGCTGAATCCCGACCTCCCAGCGCGCAACCGGTTCGGAGAGGCGGCTCTGATCCTCACCTGGAGCCACGGATTCCTTTTTGTAGGACAACCAGAATTATCTCCTGACAATAACCCTAAAAATACCTGCATTGTATGAGGTGAATGAATGATTTCTTCGAAGGGGATGGTCACAGTCAGCCCAAAACAGGGCTGGGAAGGGATGAACCAACTAAGGGAGCCGTTCCCAGCAGCAAATCTGTCCTTTCCTCACCAACTTCCTCCCAGTCATTCCAGGAGTAACACCCAAAATTTGAGGCCACGCTGGGAGAAAAGCTGGCAGGCCTGGGCTGAGCAGGAGCCAGGTGCATTTAAGGCTAAAAAAAGCAGGTGACAGCTCTGTGCATGGAAATGCAAACAGCAACGGAGCACAGCCCCGGCCACACTCAGGGCTCCCACGGAAACACGGTGAGCAAAGCCAAGAGGATAAAAATCCACACAAACAGAAGGCCAGCTGTGAATTTGGAAGGAAATATCACAGAATTCCAGGAAATATCACAGAATCACAGAATTTCAGAATGGTTGAGGTGGGAAAGAACCTCTAAGAACATCTTACACCACCTCTTGCATTAGATCAGGCTGCTCCAACCTGGAGTTGGACATTTCCAGGGATGGAGCAGCCACAGATTTTTATTGAAAATTGTATCAGCACCTCAGCACCCAGACAATAAAAAAAAAAGGCTCCTTGAAGAGTGCATTAAAAAAAAGGCTCCTTGAGGTGTGCTCAAGGATCCCTAAAAACTTCGGGATTATCCCAGAATGGATCTGCTGGCAATCTGGCCAGGAAATAGCGAGGCCAGGAAAAACCAAGGAGYTTTTGCCGAGGAGGATTCCCCAGCAGAGCTGAGGGCCAAGATTTTGCCACGGCTGCCAACTGCAGAGGCAGCGGTGCCGGTCCCACGAGGTGGAGCTGGAACTCTGCTCCCTCTCCCTGCTCCCAGGCAGGATTAAACCTGGGAGTATTTAATTAGAACAGAGGCGACTTAAGCCTGTGGGTCACACCGGGAGGCAGCTCACAAAGCTTTCCTGCCATGGCAGAGAGGGTTCTTCACACCCTGGATCCTGCCCTGGCTGAGGAATGATGCCAAACTCAGAGCTGGATCTGCAGGGTTGGTGTCAATTCTGCTCCTGCCAAAACTCCCCGTGACTCAGAGACCTCAAAAACGCTCTCTCTCAGTGGGCACTGAGTGTCCTCAGCCTCCCYGAGGTGATAAAATCCACATTTGATTGCAAGGTCCAGCGAGTTTGTAGCTCAGATTTGGCTCTCAATGACCAGCACTGATGCGGATTTTTCTGAGATTGTCATTGAGCCAATGTGTCCTGAGCTGAGTCCTCTKCCAGGGATGTGGGTTCTGGACATCACCGAGTGCCAGCTCACCAAGGAGAGCCCAAAATCCCTCAATTCCAGCCTGGAAAACCTCTCTCTTTGAGTTCCTCAAGCTCTACAGACTTTCCAGAGGTTTAAAATCGAGGTATTCCCAGAAAATAATCACTCAACAAAGCCG